CCCTTTTCTTCAATGCAATCTCTGTTCCCCTATCGTTGTTCTCGAGAACGATGTAATCTCTATAACTTCTGCAAATCGCCAACAAAGAAAACACATCCTAGAGGATAGTGCAAAATCGAAACGTACAGGTCATTTGATTTGTGATTTTGTAGATGTCTTTAATGGCGATTCATTGACGGAATGCAATAGGTTATTTTTATAACATAAGTGAAAGATGCAAATTAGAGGTTTTAACCCCATGTAATTTTTATTTTTATTTTTCGTTTTGACATTATTTTTTGTTTGGTTTTACTGTTCATTTACAATATTTTTCCGGTTGTTTTGCGTTTTTGTTACATCTTTTAATAACTCGATTGCGATTTTTTGTTTTGTCGTCTTTTGTGCTTTTCGGCCCTTTGGAGTATTTTGTTAAATTTGTCTTTTTCCTCCTAAATCCGTTGATTGTTTGTTTGGAGTTTCCTGGTATGTGTTACATTATTTTGTGTTTTCATTTTGCTGTTTTGTGATACATTTGTTTTTTTTTGTTCATGTTATTTTCTGGTGTCGATTGCAACATATATTCGATTTCGTTGTTTTTTTTTTTCTGTTTGCGATTTGTTGTTTCTAGCGTAGTGTATTTTGCATTTTGATATTTATTTTGCATTTTGCGTTTTGCACTTTGATGTTTTTTTTTCCATTTTGCATTTTGCATAGGTACCGACATGGTTGTCCAATAATTTTTTTTTTTCAATTGAACAGTTGATTTGACGAAACGGGAGAGGAAAATAGATGAATTATTTGCCTCTTCAAAAAGAGGGAAGCAACGATGAATCAAGCCAAATCTATTTGCACGATAACACAAAGCCATATTAAGTTTCGACATCGCCTCAACAAACCAGATTTGGTTGATTGTGGGATTTTTGTCTTGTATATGGCAAGGCAGTTGTGCATGCAACAACCATTAGTGAGAAAACTCCAGCAAGTGGGATATCGCACTCGAAAAACTTTTAATTATCAGTTCTTGAACGACGAGGATACTGTTGAGTTTAATTAGATTTTTTTTTATGATATTTACTTATGTTTAGCAGAGCTTTGATTTTTATTTGTGGCATTATATTTTTGTTGGATTTTGATATGAACTATTTTCTAATATATTCCAAATGCATGCAGTTATTTTGTGTATTGGTATATGCTTGTCAATTCATAAGTTCTTATAAATTCAGTACATTGTTAAAAAAACAGGCAAAGTGTCAAAGGGCTTTAGTCGATTTTTGTTATGCTATACACTGCTGCAACAAAATTCTCATAAGGCTTTAGTCTTCATTCCGCTGTTATAGTTTGCATTTTGCTATTTTAATTTATAAGCAAACTGCAAAAAGAAAAGGCAAAGTTCAAATAATACAATACCACCTGCAAAAATAAATATATGGCGTCAAAAGTGTAGATAATATTATACCAAAAAATTACATCATATATAACATCAACATGCACAAATATAGTCGAGCAACAAACACATCGTATATGCAAACGGCAAACATAAAAATCAAAAGTGCAAACAATACCATGCCAACAACTCAAAAAAATATATATAACATCAAAGTGTAAAATATAGTCTGCTAGAAACAGCAAAATTCAACAACATGCACAAATATAGTCGAGCAACAAACACATCGTATATGCAAACTGCAAACATAAAAATCAAAAGTGCGAACAATACCATGCCAACAACTCAAAAAAAATATATATAACATCAAAGTGTAAAATATAGTCTGCTAGAAACAGCAAAATGCAAAACAAAAAACCACCAACATCGAAAATTGTGCAAATCGACATAAATAGATGAAAAAAAACTTGATGTTTGTTGTTCGATATGGACATTATAACATGATGTTTTGCTGTTTGATGTTAGAATTATGAATGGATTTTTAAAGTTTGATATTTACAGAACATATATTAACAGTGACAATCATGTATGAAAAAAAAAACTTAAAACAGTAAACAAAAGCAGCAAAAGAGTAAAAATATATTCGAGCAAAAACACATTATATACATAAACTGCAAGAATTAAAAGCAAAGTGCAAATAGTACCATACTAACAACAAAAAATAAATATATAACAACAAAGTGCAAAAAAAAAATAGCAAACAACAAACACAATTTTCGTCTCAAAATTATCAGATTTAGTCGATGTCCTTGAGCCTCTAGATACGGAACTACTCTGACGATTAAATACGGAATGAATTTATCGGCTGAGAACGAGCGAGCCATTTTGTACTCGTTTTGGTTTGCACGAAAAAAAAAACTAAATGAAATCTTCTCTTGATGAGCAAATAAAGAGAACATATGTGAATCGGGCTCAATCACTTTCTGTATGGTCATCTTCTCCTTCAATCTTGCACCATCAACCCTAAAAAAATCACAAAATTTAATTTAATGCCTGCCAAATTGAATCAAAAGTCTGAATTTGAATTTCAATCTCGAAATCTAAACCAGAGATTTTGCGAAATAAAATAAGAGTGTCGTCAAAGATGAATCAACCACGTTTCATAAACTCCTTTCCAACAACAAAACAAACCTATTGACGTAGCTCCTCTTCATGTTGACAGCAATACGAAAAACAAAAATATACCTAATTGCATTAGATTTCACGAAACTAAAGCCATACAATTCTAAGATCTTATAACGATGAATGAGTTCTTTAATTCTACCACGGATAAACTCCCGATATTTTTTTTTCAACCCACGTCTCATAACTTCCTTCCAAATCTTACAACGTGATATTTGGGATTTATTCAACGTAATTTACTGAATTAACTGCTTCCTTAATTAAATAATTTACTGGAAGGGTATTTATGTCCGTAGGCTTATAATTTTAATTAATTTAATTAAAAATTTTGGTCAAAGGGCCTATAGCTATACTAATCTGTAGCAACAAAATCTTATCTGCGATTTAGACAAACAAGAAAAACTGCACAAATATAATGTTATTGAATTAAAATAAAATATTGCGGGTTACAAACTCTAATTTAATCCTCTGATTCTTCTCTCTAGAACGATGTGTGTTTGACTTTGAATTTCGGAGACGGGTCGTTGACTTGATCTTCTCCGGGTTTGATTTGGATTTGAATAACGTCTTCCGAGGGTCTTGCGACTTGAATCTCGGATCGAAACGCTGAACTGAATAACGTCTTCCGAGGGTCATGCGACTTGAATCTCGGATCGAAACGCTGAACTTTGACGGGTTTTGACTTGAAGATCTTCAAGTTCTTGATGGATTTGACCCTTCAATCTTCCTTCGATCTTGATTTGTTGAAGAACGCCCTCGATTTGATGAAGAACGCCTTGAATTTGATGAAGAACGACTTGAATATTGTAGAGAGAATTTTCTCCTACGGTTTTTCTTCTTCTTGAGTTGTGTCTTGAATTGTGTAGAGAGGGTCCCTATTTATAGTGGTAGAATAAGAGTGCTACTTAAAGTCTACTTGATGACGTGGCGCGATTTGATTGGCTCTCTTTAAATTGATATTTATCTCTTATAACTTGGAAGAGAAGAAATAATCCTATTGGCCAATAATTAATTGATAATTATCTCCATAACTTATTTTGTAGGATAAATTATAATTTAATTTAGACACAATTTAATTGGCTAATTTAATTAACCAATTAATTAATTTTATGCGTCTACAAATGCCCCCTCGAGACTTGTTCACGGACAATGCATCTTGGAGTGGATGAGTCTCGATAATTGCTCAACTTCGATTGCAGCTTGATCTAGCAAAGAACATATATCTTTTGAAATCATGACTGAACTTAGAGAGATTCTAAGTTGCCTACGTACCCTATAAAGGGATCAAGTCATAACGTAGTTCAAAATATATCCTTTTGAGGGATGTCGTGCACAGTTTATACTCATGTGGACAAGGAGAAACATTTGCAGTTTAAGCTCGTACTGAAGGAGCATTTGACTTGAATTTGTAGATAGTTTATGCTCGTATCAAGGAGCCTTGACTTGATTTCGATATATAGATAGTTTATGCTCGTATCGAGGAGCCTTGACTTGATTTGGATATATAGATATTTTATGCTCGTATCAAGGAGCCTTGACTTGATATGTATAGATAGTTTATGCTCGTATCAAGGAGCCTTGACTTGATTTAGATATATAGATAGTTTATGCTCGTATCAAGGAGCCTTGACTTGATTTAGATATATAGATAGTTTATGCTCGTATCAAGGAGCCTTGACTTGATTTGAATATGTAGATAGTTTATGCTCGTATCAAGGAGCCTTCACTTGATTTAGATATATAGATAGTTTATGCTCGTATCAAGGAGTCTTGACTTTATTTGAATATATAGATAGTTTATGCTCGTATCAAGGAGCTTTGGTTTGATTTGGACATGTAGACCTTTTAAACTCGTGTCAATGAGTACTTCGTTTGATTTGGACATGTAGACCTTTTAAACTCTTGTCAATGAGAATTTCACTTGATTTAAACTTGTGTCAAGGAGTATTTCACTTGATTTTGACTTGTAGACCTTTTAAACTCGTGTCAAAGAGTATTTCATTTAATTTGGACATGTAGACCTTTTAAACTCGTGTCAATGAGTGCTTCATTTGATTTGAACATGTAGACCTTTTAAACTCGTGTCATGGAGTGTCTGATTTGGACATGTAGACCTTTTAAACTCGTGTCAAGGAGTGCTTCACGTGATTTGAACTTGTAGACCTTTTAAACTCGTGTCAAGGAGTGTTTGATTTGTATTGACTTGTCACATTGCATAGGATGTTGTTTCTTCAAAAGACTTGCCCCCATCCTCATGATCTTTTTGTTCTTCTTCAACATGTTCTTCTTTAAGCTGGTACGACTTTTGGAATGAAGGTTCTTCGACTTCATTTGCAGTTATGCTCAACTCCATATCATGCGCTCGAGTGGCCAACTCTTCAAAACTTCTAGGTTGAATTCCTTGAATGATATATCGGAGTCCCCATTGCATTCCTTGGATGCACAGTTCAATAGCTCATGTCTCAGGCAGTCGATCCTTGCAATTAAGACTCAAATTTCTCCAACGGGTGATGTAGTCGATGACAGGTTCCTTCTTCCACTGGCGGGAATTGGTGAGCTCAATCATGCTGACTGTTCTTCGAGTGCTGTAAAAGCGGTTGAGAAATTCTTCCTCTAAGTGCTTCCAACTATCGATGGAGTTTGCCCCCAAATCAATGTACCAATCAAACGCATTGTCTTTGAGCGATCGGACGAATTGCTTGACGAGGTGATCTCCATACGTGCCGACATCATTGCAAGTCTCCACGAAGTGTGCCACATGTTGCTTGGGGTTGCCTTTGCCGTCAAATTGTTGAAACTTTGGAGGTATATAGCCCATTGGCATCTTTAGATCATCGATCCTTTGCGTGTATGGCTTGACATAGGTTGATGGCGACTTCGAGCTTCCTTCCAACTTGTCTTTGATTGTTCTACTGATCAGCGTCATCACTTGATCTACATGAATCAGCCCTTCGGGAGAAACTTGAAGTTCTTGAGCTGGAGCCTTCTCTTTTTCAACTTGCTGTTGCTTTGTGAATGCCTCGACTTCGTTTTGAGCCTCTATCTGTTCCACAATTTGACTAGCATCGGCTTTGTTCATCTTCTCGATCAACTTGGCAATTTGAGAATCTCGTTGTTGAACATGCTTTGTGAGTCCCTCAATAGCCTTGGTCAAACTTGCAATTTGCTCTTCCATAGTTGTAGCGTTTGTTGTCATGACGGATGCCATCTCTGAGTAGCTTGATGTTGAATGAGGCATGGGCTGTGACATCTCTCGTTTTGAGCCTTCCACGTCTGCGCTTGTGTTGACAAGAGGTGGTAAGCCTTTCTGAACGGTTCGGGGCGTCGAGCTAGTCTTGGAGGATGCTTCTTCCATAGTTGTAGCGTTTGTTGTCATGACGGATGCCATCTCTGAGTAGCTTGATGTTGAATGAGGCATGGGCTGTGACATCTCTCGTTTTGAGCCTTCCACGTCTGCGCTTGTGTTGACAAGAAGTGCTAAGCCTTTCTGAACGGTTCGGGGCGTCGAGCTAGTCTTGGAGGATGTTTCTTCCATAGTTGTAGCGTTTGTTGTCATGACGGATGCCATCTCTGAGTAGCTTGATGTTGAATGAGGCATGGGCTGTGACATCTCTCGTTTTGAGCCTTCCACGTCTGCGCTTGTGTTGACAAGAGGTGGTAAGCCTTTCTGAACGGTTCGGGGCGTCGAGCTAGTCTTGGAGGATGCTTCTTCCATAGTTGTAGCGTTTGTTGTCATGACGGATGCCATCTCTGAGTAGCTTGATGTTGAATGAGGCATGGGCTGTGACATCTCTCGTTTTGAGCCTTCCACGTCTGCGCTTGTGTTGACAAGAAGTGGTAAGCCTTTCTGAACGGTTCGGGGCGTCGAGCTAGTCTTGGAGGATGTTTCTTCCATAGTTGTAGCGTTTGTTGTCATGACGGATGCCATCTCTGAGTAGCTTGGTGTTGAATGAGGCATGGGCTGTGAAATCTCTCGTTTTGAGTCTTCCACGTCTACGCTTGTGTTGACAGGAGGTGGTAAGCCTTTTTGAACGGTTTGGGGCGTCGAGCTAGTCTTGGAGGATGCTTTCAGCTTCTTAGCCATACTCCTTGTAACTAAGCCCACACTTGATGAATCCGAAGTAGCAGTCTTCATTGTGAACGTAGAGCAGTCACTGCAACACTTCGAGGATCTTCGAGAGAGAGAAGAGATGAGAGGTAGAGATGTCCCACTGGGCGTGCCAAAATTTGTAGCAACAAAATCTTATCTGCGATTTAGACAAACAAGAAAAAATGCACAAATATAATGTTATTGAATTAAAATAAAATATTGCGGGTTACAAACTCTAATTTAATCATCTGATTCTTCTCTCTAGAACGATGTGTGTTTGACTTTGAATTTCGGAGACGGGTCGTTGACTTGATCTTCTCCGGGTTTGATTTGGATTTGAATAACGTCTTCCGAGGGTCTTGCGACTTGAATCTCGGATCGAAACGCTGAACTGAATAACGTCTTCCGAGGGTCTTGCGACTTGAATCTCGGATCGAAACGCTGAACTTTGACGGGTTTTGACTTGAAGATCTTCAAGTTCTTGATGGATTTGACCCTTCAATCTTCCTTCGATCTTGATTTGTTGAAGAACGCCCTGGATTTGATGAAGAACGCCTTGAATTTGATGAAGAACGACTTGAATATTGTAGAGAGAATTTTCTCCTACGGTTTTTCTTCTTCTTGAGTTGTGTCTTGAATTGTGTAGAGAGGGTCCCTATTTATAGTGGTAGAATAAGAGTCCTACTTAAAGTCTACTTGATGATGTGGCGCGATTTGATTGGCTCTCTTTAAATTGATATTTATCTCTTATAACTTGGAAGAGAAGAAATAATCCTATTGGCCAATAATTAATTGATAATTATCTCCATAACTTATTTTGTAGGATAAATTATAATTTAATTTAGACACAATTTAATTGGCTAATTTAATTAACCAATTAATTAATTTTATGCGTCTACATAATCTAACACATTGGACTCATAGCCATATAAGTTTGAAATAAGGGGGGTATAGCTAATTATCCCTTTTTTTATTTTTCCTAGTCCCACGTCTCTCTCTTCTTTTCTTTCTCTCATTTTTTTTCTCTCCTTTTTTTCTATTTTTTTTTTCTAAGTTGTTACAAGTTATATTAACAAATTGCAAAATACAATTAACAACATACAAACTGCAATTTGTAACAGCAAAAATAAATAGCAAAATAAATATAATACCGAACCACCTACCATATGTCAGAAATATTATTTTACAAATGTCTTTTCACAACAACATAATATGGAACTAATGATAATTTACTCAAACATCAATACTTCAAGTTTTTTTTCCTCGAACAATATAAAATATTTTTAAAAGATAAAATATGAAATAAAAGATGACATAACAAACGAACAAACCAGTTTTGTCCAGGAATAATCAGTACATTAAATAAAAAATATTGTAAGATACAAATTAGTAGATACAAACAGTGTTGCAGTATAGTGTTGCAATACCTGATCTGGCTGAGGGTGATGTCATAACGGAAATAGTCTCGACGTATACTGAATTCACAACTTCCAAACGTCCTCGATGATCATCTAGAAACTTGATCTTGTCAATATGAGTTTTGGAAAATAACCAAAAAATATGTGAAACCTTCCATAGTTATTCCCAAAAAAAGAAAAAGAAAAAACTAATATTAATTTGCAATAACGAGTTGAAGATTAAAAAATGCCGAACTGCCAAAGTCAATTAAAAAAATGGAAAATGAAAACCGCAATCAAATAAAATGTAAGGGACAACCAACAAACTTCAAATTGCAGACAACAACATAAAAAATATAAATTGCAACAACAACAACAAAATAGTGGCAACAACAACCAAATAAAAGTATGCGAATAACCATATCCAAATGCAATTGTCAACAACAAACTGCAAAATGCAAATGATCTACAATGACAACAAGTATTTTGTTATGATAGATGAAACCATTTGTTACAACACCAAACTGCAAATATTACAGTAAAGTGCAAAATATACAATAAACATCAAAGTGCAAAATACACATAAAAACAGCAAAATAAAAAACAAATAAAAAAAGACCTTTGCAGAAAACAAAATTATTACCTGGGATCGTAGGCTCCAAATCCCTGTCTTTCACTTCATTCGTAAAAAAAAAACCATTGAATTTCTTCAAAGAATCGCGATTTAAAAAAAATACAAAAATATGCAATATATAGCAAATTACCTGTACGTTTTCAATTTTGCACCATCTTATCGGTTTCCAGACCTACAAACTCTCCATCGATCTGAGCAATAAGGGGTTGTGATTACAGAGTTTGGGCTGAACGAAATAGGGGAGGGTTTTTGCATGTTTCAATTTGACGAGATTTGTAGATTTTTCCCTGCTGTGTCGGTTTCCATCGATCTCAGAATTAGGGGGATAGGGGCGTTGAAAGAAACGAGAGGAGAGGCAGTTTTAATCTCACGATTTGAGATTTTTTTGCCTCAATTTTAGCTAAAATCTGATTTGGTGGATAATTATATTTATGAAGGGAATTTTCCTATTTTACTGCAAAGGGCAAATCAGCCAAAAATATTAGTATGGGGTTTTAGCAAAATAAGGCTTATGACTTAGACTAGGACCTATACAGTCTTAGAATGGAGGGTCTATAGAAAATTACCCCTTTTTTTTATTGGGATTGAAAAATCAACATGGAAACGATAAATTGAATAGCCAATTAGATCATAGAGTAAACTGCAAAAAAAACCCCTTGTGTAATCTTCCAAATAACAAAAAAAAACCTGTGAGCCTAATATCAGGTGAC